GGGTCTGGAGTTTAGGGTTCAGGGTTTGTGGTTTAGGGTTTAGGGTTTAGGGTTTGGAGTTTAGGGTTTTGAGTTTAGAGTTAACCGGTTAGATTTTTTAAGTGTTGGGTGTTGTAGGGTTTTAGCCCAGGTATCCGACCACGGCTCGCAGGCACTATGCAGAGGCTCAGCTTGTTCGGGGTTTCGGGTTTAGGGGTTTAGGGGTTTAGGGTTTAGGGTTTAGGGGTTTAGTTTTTTTGCCGAACTTCTGCCCTAAACCCACCGCGTACCGTTGTATGAGCAGAATCCGTGACAATCCTGGAGAGCCCATCGCACATGGATGCTTGCACGGCTGTCAGATCGACGTGTATGAAGTTCAGAAGTTCAATGCTGAGGCCGAACTGGTGAAACCCCAAACTTAAACCCAAAACCCTAAAGCCCAAAAATCCCTCAACCCCAAACCCCTAAGCCCTAAACCCTAAACCCCACACCCCTAAACCCTAAACCCTAAACCCCTATACCCTAAACCCCTAAACCCCAAACCCTAAACCCTAAACTCCACACCCGGAAGCTGCAACCCTAATCCAGAAGCCCTCAAACTTAAGAGCCCAAAGCCCACGTCCTAAGGCCACGGTTTAGGGTTTAGGGCGTGACGTTCGGAATGCCGATACCTAGGCTCAGATAGCGACAGTCGCAGCGGAAGTGCCGATGCCTTGGAATTCAATCTTCGCGGGGGTTTAAAGATTTGGGGTTCAAGGTTTACGGTTCAAGGAGCGAGTTCGGGGTTCAGGGCTTAGGTTTTGGGGTTCAAAGTTTAGGGGTTTAGGAAAACTAGACTAATTAGGGTGTTATCAGGGGTTTTGTTATGTAATGGATTGTTGAGGGATGTTGATGTAATTGTATCTGAAACGATAACTACAACGGGACTATAAGGGGAGAGAGTATGCCATCACGTGCTAATTCAGCCCTTTGGGCGGGGTGGGTGCTTCAGGTTTATTCCTTAAGGTTCCTTATGATACTTATAGCTCAAGAACTGAGCCCTAAACCTGAAACCTTATTATACGTATTGGCAAGAATAAGCCCTAAACCCTAGACCCTAAACCCTAACCCCCCCCCCCCCCCCCCCCATGTAACGCTGACCAGGGTTTGGGTCTGGGTTTGGGGTCGAAGGTTTAAGCCCAGGGTTTCGGTCGTTTTAGAGTCTCCTCAACCCTAAACCCCTAAACCNNCTAAACCCTTAACCCTAAACCGTGAGCTTTAGAGTTCCTTCTTGGAGCTCAGAGCTGAGAGATCAGGAGGAAGGAAGTCCCGATCAGTGGGCTTAAGGTTTACGGTTCCAGGTTTAGGGTTT